CCTTGCCCTTTCCCCGGTTTGTTTTTTTTTTTTTTTTTTTTTTTTTTTTTCTTTTCAGCAGCACAGCCAGGGTTACAAAATCGTGTCTGCCAAAAGCAGCTTGAGAAACACAGCCTGGGAAGAAGTGTTACAGGGTGGAAAGGGAAAGGAGGAATTCGATACCCGATTGGAAAACATCTAGCCTATGCTGAAACTCTTGTTTCAGAAGTTAAAAAGAAACAATGAGCTACTTTCTAGCACTGTTGTAATAAAACCGATAGTAACTAGTAAAATTAAATGTACAATGTAATGGAAGCAACTAAGGAAACCTGCTGCTGCTCAAGTCCTCTATACTATACTGCCCCAACCCTATTTAATTATTTACCTGACACTAAAATAGAGAAATAGTAACTAGTCTTGATTTATCTACGATTCAATTAAGGAACTGACCACCAGGCAATGTAGCATTGTTGCTAAGCAGGGTAGTCATGTCAAGAGAGTGATGAACCTGGTCATCAGTGATGGTCATGAGTGATGTCCTGGTCAGCAAAACTGCTTGGAACTGCCAAGATCAGAGGAGAAGTACGTAAAAGGTAATTTTGGCAGGGAGAGATTGCAACCACTGACTCGTTGACCACCTACCCAAATGATACCACTTACTCAAAAGCGAAAGATGGAAGAAGAAGAGTATGCACGCTAATTTACATGGGAAGCAAAGAAATCTTCACCAATCATTAGAGAGAATGACCATGAAAATGTATTAATTGTTTGAATATGTAATAATCAATGTATAAAAGTGGAGATTTTTGAAACTAAGGTGTGCTCCTTAGGTGTGCTGTGTTTTGGGATGAGCACCCCGTTTCTGTACATTAATGGAATAAACTTGGAAATACCTCTGCTCTGTGTGTTATTGGCTTGCACACTGGCTAAAGAACCCAGATTTGGGACAACACCACCTTCCAGCATTCCATTCTCACCTGTGAAGCAACCAGGCAGGAAGAGAAAGCGCATTTTCTGTGGGTCAGCCCTGCTGAAACGAGTTTGGGGGGACCCTTGCAGTGTGGCAGCAGAGCTGTGAGCCCCTCTGCTCCTGCCGGGGGTCATCCTTGTTGGATGGTGTGGCTCCGTAGGGCATGCAGGGGAAGCAGCGTGGCTATGAGATGTGGGATGCCAACCAGGCAATGTGCTGAGCTGGGCACAGCCTCAGCTCCTTAAGCACGCCAGCCAGTGTCCTGGAACTACCATAAACCTGTACACATAAACCAAACGGGACACCATCATAGAAACACTCCAAATAAATTGTCAGCCCTATGGAACACCTCCCTAGGAGCATCAAAATACTATTGGTGAGTTTTGGGGTGCTCTGCCTTATTTTTTCTCTGGAACTCTTCCCTTTCCACTTCACTGAGCTTCTTTTTATTTGCTTGCATTTCATATCCTGCTTTATTTCTCCACTGGCTTCTCTCCTCATTTTTCTTTCCCTGTTCTGTTAAGAAACAAAACAAAACAAAACAAATAAAATAGTGAGACCTATATTATCTATTCTTATCAGACATAATTATCAATACTTCAAAGATTGTTAGGATTGGGTCATAGCCAATTAGCATTACAAGAAATTTGTGTCTAGATAGTTACTTTTATTTTATTTTTGAGTCTGTATTAAAGCCTCACTCAGCAAACACTGAGGAGTGGGTAGAGGGTGGTGACGCCAATCTGTTTGGGATCAACCCCCTGTTCCCTAAAAAATGGGCCTCTCGGCCCTTTCAGAGAATTGAGCAGAGCTTGCGCTTTCTTCTCAAAGCCACGCAGCAGAGGAGAAGGGGGAAGAGGCCTGCTCCCACCTCCCCCTCCTTTTATGCTCTAGCCCGATGGTCAGCACACTCGCCCAGAAAGGGGGAGCACAGCTCTGAGTCCCCAGAAAAACACCCCCACGCAGGCTGCCAGAAGGCCTTAAGAGTGTGTTTGTTCTGTGTCTTTGCTCTGCCAAGGGCCTGAAATGGAAATTCAGAAGCCCCATTATAGCACATTATAACATTACGGACATCCTGTTAACACCTCTATATCCTGAAATGTGATGGGGCGCTTATCCTGTGCTAAGTCCGGTTTACTGAAGGGAAGGCACAGCCACTTTTTCTGCCTCTGAATTAAAAGAAATGGGTAGCTGCACTTTGAGAGGACATCAGTCCTTATGGTGAGTATTTGGACGTGCAGAGGGTGCCCCATACCCATCTCTCAGGGCCCTGAGGTGGAGGAAGACTCAGCCTCACCCAAACGCTCATCCTTTTGGGAAAAGTGGCTGTCTGAGTGATAGATGGAGCCACAAATATAGATGATGTGAGAACATTAAATCAGAAAGTAAAGGGCTACGGGGCCTTCCAGCAGGGCAGAGTGGGAGATGAAGTTTTCAGGGTCACAATTTCAGAGTCTTCTGCACGTCCTCCAAAATCTTTTGGCTCCGACCTGCAGCTAGTACCCGGCATGCAGAACCAAAGCAGAACTGTCAGTGCCGGTTTTGCTGTATGAATGTTTTGTTGGAGCCTGGGCTCTCAGGAGGACTTGCTGGTTTGAGTCATCTTTTGTGGCTGAAATACCACTCACACCCATGGCTCTTGTCTGTTGCTGGTTGGAGCCTATGTTGAACACCAGAAAACACAGAGTGTGAGCAGAGAATGTGCGCTCATTTTTTAGAAGGTGCTAAAAAATATTAATTTGTGTTAGGTGAGATTTTTGCCCAGGTAAACTGAGAGGAACTAGCCAAGGGCCCTTGGCACCAGAACCCCTCTGGTCCCACAGTAAACCCTGAGCCCCAGCTGGGGCAGAGAGTTACCAGAAGTGGCAGAAGCCCAAATCTTAGGAGCCGCCCCATCACATCACTTGGTGGGGCTCAGACACAACGTGAACAAAGCGTAACTCTCTCTGCCCAGGACACACATAAAGCAATACAGTTTCCCTCCTCCCAGCCAACTAAAAATACATCGTACTTATAAAGCATATTTCCTCTATGTACTTTTTTTAACCAAGCTTCAGCAGGAAAGAGAGGACTGTTTTTACACACGGTGTGCAGACAGAAATACTCCAGCCATAGGGGGTGAGAGCTGGCAGTGTCACAGTGAGTCTGAAATATAGCTGTGGCTCAGCTCTTGGCGACAGCCTGACTTCTACCCCCGGAGAATTTGCTTCTGGGCATCTATAACATATTTTTTCCTTTTCCCCCAAATCAGGGGTTAGGGGAAAGATGAACCACATGTGAGAATGACTCATTAACTGTCCAGGTGACCCACTGATGAGGAGAAAAAGTTGCTAATAAAAAGGTTCTGCCCCAGGGGTAGGGGAAATGATGTCCTGTGGCTTGTTTGTCTTTGAGTGCAGGCTGTAGCAAAGTACAGACTAGGCCAAAATAAGAATTTTTGAAGGTAATGGGTTATGTTTTTCATTCATAATACATAATGAAAGATTTGGGGTTATTGTGGGCTTTATGTTAATTTGTAAATTAACTGTATCTGTAGCACAGTATGTCTGTAATGTGAGTAATCAGAATGTGAAAATTATTGTCTGGTAACAGGCATAAGGAGACATGGCTTGGTTTGCTTGGATTTTTTAATGGGCTGGCATTTTTTTGTTCCTCCCTCCTAAATCTTAGTCTGATTTTTCTTTAATATTTAAATCTATAAAAACTACATAAAAACCCCACATGTTGATCTAGGGATGGATGTTCCTGTACATTGCAAACAGCTGTGCTGGAAGCTAACTGTGCTATCTAATCATAGATTAGAAATATTATTTAAATTAGTATTTTTGCCACTCCAATTGTAAAAGTACTCTAACTGGACTGAATTTCCTTAATCTTGAGTAAATAGATAGTAATTTCTGTTCCTCAGTCTGCATTGTGCTGTCCAAGTCAATTCTTCTTTTTCTTGGTGCAAAACACTTCCAGTACTCCCATAGCAGCTAGAGAATATCCTGTGGGCAATTAATTTAGAACTTTGTATGAGAACCGCTTGGAGTCTTTTGATATAAGGTGCTGTGGGCTGCAGGAATTTTTCTTTCATTTTAAGTCTAATAATTGAAAGATCTAACTTGATAATGGAAGATGTTAGAATACCAATTCCTCTTGGAAGAAGAGGCAGTCTTGGACTTAAGTTAGCTTTGAGGTAACATTTACGGTGTTTAAGAAAATCTTACTGACGAAGACCCACTGTGCCTCGATCCTGAATACATTCCAAGCAGCAGGGAAAAACCTCTTTTCTTTTGGGTTCTTCTTATATACTTTAATAAGCCTTTCTTGACAGGTTGTCAAACCACTCTGGTTTTATGAGGCCCCTCTCCTAAAAGGTAGGCTGTAAAAGGGTAGTAGTAGCTAAAATCTTAGCTCTGCTATTAATGAACTGTGGTGTGTGGTGCTCTTTCCTCAGGAAAAGAACAAGCTTTCTTCTTGATGTGGAGGAGCAGAAAGTGTAACTCACCTTGCTGTCATCTTCCCTTGCTATAAGTTGGCTGTAGCCCAAGCACCTGGGTAATTTGAAGATCTCCAGCCCTTTGTGTCTGCTTGCCATCAGAATGTCTGGACGTGGAAAGAAACACGCAGTGGCTGGCAAACCTGGACACACACCAAAGAAAACCAAATCAGCCAAGGCTGGTCTGCAGTTCCCCGTAGGTCGTGTCTACAGGCTCCTTAAAAGGGGGAACTACACTGACAGGATTGGTCCCGGTGCCGCCATCTACCTGGCTGCGGTGCTGGAGTACCTGAGCGCGGAGATCCTGGAGCTGGCGGGGAACGCTGCACGGGAAAACAAGAAAACAAGGATCCTGCCCAGGCACATCCAGCTGGCTGTGAGAAATGATGATGAGCTGAACAAGCTCTTCTCCTGTGTGATTATTGCTCAAGGAGGGGTTATGCCAAACATCCTTTCCCAGCTCCTTCCCAAGAAAACTGTTAGAGATGCTGTTCCTTCTCAGCAACAAGGTGGTAGCCAGTGAAACTTGCTTTTCCTGGTCTGGTCTGTGCACCTATGGATGATGGTGGGACTCAGTAGCATTAATTTGCATGTGTTTGCTTCTTTGTCAAGTATTTTTTCCTGCTAACTTTAATGCATTTTTAAAGCTTGTAATAAAGTTCCTAGAATGCAACACTGTTCTCCTTTCTTTTCTCAGCTCCCCTTCCAGGGGTGGAGGAACACAGTAAACGTCAAAAAAAAAAAAAAGTCTATCATACCACCCAAATAACTTAGTCAAGTACATGTTTACTTGTTATACCTGTTATAGGTAACTGTTGTGGAGCAGGCAGAGGAGTAAAGACACACCCTACCACTTGTGTTAGTGTGACCTTTTCCTTCGTCACAGATTCATAGTGCAATTAGGACAGGTTGCTTAACTCTGCTTTAGAAGTCAGTAACCCTGTGCTTTTAAAGTCTTATTGCTCGTAAAGCTGTAGTGAACAGCTACCTCTCTTTAGATTGTTCTGACATGATGCTAAACCTCTGTCTTGTCACAACAACCATAGATAGTTGTAGTCAGTTTAAAATTAGGTGCAATATTTGTGCTGTTGGTAGAAGTGACTCTCCTACTTCTGTCCATCAGTACAGAAAAACAGAAGCCTCCATATCCAAACAAGCCTCCAGGCCTTTGCTGACTAAGTCTTTGAAAGTTTTTCCCCCCATCGAAGTGCTTAGGGTTTCTCTGCTCATACTGGGTGCTGAGGTTTGCTGTTGAACTGGAAACTGGGGATCTGCTGCAGCTGCATTAGGATCAGTTGGCCGCCGAGGTGGTATCTCACAGATTTCATAGCATCTCACGCAAAGAAAACCTGGTTAGGACCAGCTTCCTAAACTGTAGCTGGAGCATGAACTTTTTATTTGAAAAAGATCTGCCTGTCCTGTTGAGTTTGATCTAGCTCCTTTGTCCCCTCAAGGCATGAGGGTGTCAGAGCCTACCGGCCAGGTTTTATGATGCTGACGGAAGTCAGAGCCGTCTGCCACTGAGCTAATGACTCACTCCAAGCTGTGCTTACACAGAAATGGGAAGAGAGGATACCTGACTGAGTGGCCACTGTGATTTCAGGGTGGTGGGCAGCCGGAACAGTCATTGCATGCTGCATTTTTTTTCAAGAGCAATTTGGTGAGATCTTGGCTGGCCTGCAATGAACTCAGTAAAGGGAGAAAAAGTGGAGAATGCTGTGGCAATGAGAAGGAAAAATGGGTGAGAGTAGATCTTAAGCTTTGTGCATATAGTAAAGATGTGCTGTATGTAACTATCCTTGTGCTGAGTGTTTAAACCTGTAAATGGGGGAGAAAAAGCTCTAAAGGAGATGCATGAGAAATGAACACGTGAAACTCAAATTATTTCCTCCATTTGACCATGACAAGGAAAAGTAGACTTTGGAACTATTATTTCTTTGGACCAAGCAAAAATCTAATGGTTTGTAGTAATGGTAGAAGACTCAAGCAAGGTACTAATTTTGTGCAGTTTTAAGCATGGGGCTTAGAGCACCCTTTGCTAATCTGGAGATCTGTGTGTCAGTCATCATGCTGCTCTTGGATGCAAGCTGCTCCTGTGAGCTCGCTCTGCACCACACCAAACAGACCCTACAAGGCATGGGCAGTGCTCAAGGAACTTCGAGGCATGCCTTCACCTGCCATTCTGTGTATGATAAAAGACACTGAGTGAGCTGTTTGGCCCTATCTCTACTGATACCCAAAGACAGAGTTTATGTTGCAGTACTGGTCCAATTCAAAAGTCAATTTTTTAAGTAGTTCTTTGATCGAGAACAATCTTGTTTACTATCTTCTAGCCAATAGTTCAACCCATTTGTAAATCAACCAGATAGCATAGTGATCTGAAAACACCCCTCTGGCTTCATCGTAAGAGAGGGTAGATGTCTCCTCGCACAGCTGCTCAGCAAAAGTTTCTGTTGGGCCAGAGCTCAACTTTCCAGCACTTGTGTATTGAAGGAAAAAAAAATTATTCAGCTGTCACCACACCCTTGACCCTAGAAAGGACATACTCTGCCTTGCAACACAGCTATCTATGACTTTGGAAAAAAACTGGACTGTGTGACAGATGGGGACAAGTCCCAGAAGAAGGAGAACCCACTGTCAGAGGTCTTGAGCTTCCTCAGGCTCTGCAGCATGGTCACAAAGCAGCTTGGCCACTGCTGGCGGCACAAAGGACAGTGGTATAGGTCACTGGGTTTAATTCTTGACGACCGCAGCAAGGTGAGGTGTGCCTCCTTCCAGCTGTAATAAATGAACTGCCAGAGATACTGCAGTTCTCTGAGACAGTAAATATTAGGCTTGTTTTCAGAGGAGATCAGCTAACAAGGTACTAAGCAGCTCTACAAGGAGTAGTAACAGATTCTCGTGCTCTCAGGGACTGTACTGAGTTGCCTTTGTGTTGAGACCTTGATTGTTTTTTATTTTGAGTGGCTGAATCATTGCTCACTCAGGTGGAATTAAATTATGCAAGAGCTGGTAATGAGATGGCTGCCACTGTGGAGCTTAAAAGGGAGCAGCTCTTGCCAGGTGTTGTAGTTTGGGTAGTGTTGGAAAAAAGAGGTGAAGTCAGTAACTTCTTTAGGTGGGAGTTTGTTCTTAAGAAATGGCAGAATGCTTTCTTGGTGTTAGATAAACTTCTGAGTGAAATAACAGTTTTGTAAGTTCTGTGATTGTTATAAGGCTGCTTAAGGGGGCTTTTAATTTTTTTTTAATTTATTTACTTGTATAGGGTATTTTTAAAAGCTTGTCTTGCTAATGCCCACAAAAATCTCCTAAAAGAACTTTTAATTGTATTTTCAAGCACTTCAATTCTATACTTGATTTAGCTCCTCCTCACATCTGGGCAGAACTTCTAATTACTTAAAAGCAGCTAATGATTAAAACTTGAGAACAAGTCTAGATGCAAGAGCAGGATTTTCCTGTGTTTGTTTTGTGGTTGTTTTGTCTTATGCATTTAACAGTAATTGGTACTTTTCCATACCAGAGACTTTATGTCAGTAATAAGCAATGGGGCTTGTTAGAATGGATGCAATACCATATAAGAAGATGCTTCTTGTGCATTTGTAGTAGCCTGGTGCACAGTGTGTTACAGCACAGCAATTTCAGCATATAGCGTAAAAGAAAGCTTCTCTTCTTTCCTTAAGTTTTCTTCCTGAGTGTGGCCTGTTATCTTGCAGCAATAGGTCCCCTTACTTGTCGAAGACAACATCCATTTGAAGTGGTTTCCAGTAGACGAAGTTCTTGTCTGTTGTTCTTGCTTCAGACAAAGATACGAATTTCCAGCTCTGGCTTTCACAAGGTCACTGCAGAAACTGCTTAGGTTCTTGTCAGGGGTAAGTTCAATGAAGCTTCCCTGCAGGGTGTCTGAACACTTGTAATTATCTTGAAGCCTAGTTTTCTTAACCTTTTTCCTTAACAGCAGTCCTCCTTTGATACTAGGTCAGAAGACCGTGTTCCTAAGTTCTACCTTACTCTCTTGAAAAGTTTTGGAAATCTAGCAGATGGCTGACCTGCTGCTCTCACTGAGCTTGTAGGTGCCTCTTGGCTGGAAACTTGTCAGGGTCTCCTGGAGCAGCAGCCTGACCCATCTGCTCCTTCAGATGAAAGTATGAAAAGCTAGCAAACTTTCCGAGAGGGGAAAACTGACTTGTGAGTGAATTAGAAAGGCAGTGAAATGAAGAGAAAGGAAGGACTTAAATGCTCAGTTTCTGTGTCTGTTGTTTTGGGTTTTTTTTATTTTATTTTTAATTTTTCTCTTTTTATACTAGATTGATGTCAGAATGTCTGAAAGTGAGAATACCACGAAACTCCTTGAGCCAAAGAAAACCAGATCAGCCAAGGCTGGTCTGCATTTCCCTGTGGGTCGTGTCTACAGGCTCCTTAAAAAGGGAAACTACACTGATAGGATTGGTCCCAGTGCCGCCATCTACCTGGCTGCGGTGCTGGAGTACCTGAGCGGGGAGATCCTGGAGTTGGCAGGGAATGCTGCACGGGAAAACAAGAAAACGAGAATCCTGCCCAGGCACATCCAGCTGGCTGTGAGAAATGATGATGAGCTGAACAAGCTCTTCACCTGTGTGACCATCGCTCAAGGAGGGGTGTTACCTAACATTCTTCCTGAACTTCTTCCAAAGAAGACCACCTCACTTAAACCGCCCCGCAAATATGTCCAGTCACAGGAGTTCTAGCTGCCACAAGGCTCTTGACCTTATGGTGCTAACACTGGCTTTCTCCACAGCTCCATTTTTTATGCTGATTGGCGTTTTTAGTCTAAATTTATGTGTGTGTGTGTGTACAACTGTGCACGTCTGAAAAGCTGCTGAAGATGAGGGTGCTAGTTGGGTTTCCCTAGCTATATCCTTCAAAAGAAAAAAGTCAACAGACTACTACTATGAATAAATAAGTGTGGAAAGGTTCATATCCTTCTTATCGCCTTCTACAAAATATTTGGTGCACCAAACAGAAGATTTTATTTGAGAGTGCAGTTATCTAAGGAAACCTTTTCTATGGTCTTTAAAGCTTGTATCTCCATGTGCATGGTTGGAATCTCCTTATTCAGTATGTATAGAAGTCTGCTTCATCTGACTGCTTCAGACCTTATTGTGGACACAGTTGACTTTGGGGTAAGTAGATGCACCTGAGAAACTTAAACTGGACTGCCTTATAATGACAGTGAAGCTGATGACTTATCTTCTCTAACATTTGGATACGGAGGTAGGGCTGTGCTGTAGTGTCAGAGTGTCACTGCACATACCTTGGTTCAAAGATGGTGTTGGAATTGTCCTCTGAGTTTTTGCATTGGTGGAGTGTAATCCAAGGAGTCTTCTACAGATGGTATATAAACCTTGTCAGTGCTTGAGCCTTAAGGATCTTCTAGAAACTCTTCTTTAAAATTAATCCAAATATAATTGCTACTTCTCTGGTACTGAGAATGTCCTTAACTGCTTTGAGGATTGTACCATTAGGGTCCAGATCAAAGAAACCTCTGTGTTCAAAGGCAATCCATGAAGTGGCCTTTTCCAGGACCTTCCAAAACCTTTATCTTCCACCTATGCAGCTTGAAAGGCTACTTAAGCACTATTAGATTTGCACTCTGGATTGCAATGTTATGGTGGACACACACTAGTATTAATTGTTTTGTTGTGCTTCAGAAAGCTGTTTAACAGCTTCACCAGCAGGATGTCACTCGAGCTTTATAAGTGCATTATTAGGTATTTGAATTATTCTACTCATAACACAGAACAGGAAGGCCCAAGTGTCTGCCAGCTTCAGATATATTAATCCAGCCAGGTAAAAAGGTTATTTAGAGAACTGCCTCAAGACTGGTCCTACCAGCCCACAGTCTGGCAGCCTCTGTTTCCTATATCTGCCCCATAGTAATCCATATTACTCTGCTGCTTTCTCTAGTGTAACTCAAATATCTCCCTGGTTTTCCAGTCCTGTGAGAATTGGGGCCTTTTGAAGAATGGGCTGCAGAGAGTTCACCCATTTGTATAGGCGGGTTAGGGAATATAAACGAAGGACAAGAAGCCAGGATTTAGGTATTTTGGGGCTGCAGCCAGAGGACTTTCCGTATGAGAAGCCTCTAGCATGTGTGTAAGCTGCGAACACCTACTAAGGTCCATGCTATGAGAAGGCAAAGAGAGAAGAGCGTTGGTATTGGGTCAGTCACAGTAGAACTGGCTGCTATGGGCACTGAGGATAAGTGATTTATAGTGTGGATAGGAGACAAATGTTGTTTTGAGGGCACCCATAAGATCAGTCACTGTTATATGTGTAAACAGGGCAACTTTTGGCTAGAGATCTAGAGGGTGAAACAGTGCTGACATGCTGACCTGCACCATAAACCAAACCCTCCAAGCTGCTGTCTCGGAAAACAAGAGCAGCTCCTTAGGGAGCTGTTTTTCCACAGCAGTTTCAGTCAACACCGACTGCAAGCTGCATTTGAAGAAAAACAGTCCCCTGTTTCCTGTCAGGCTGATGGTTACATTTTGTGCCGTGTTGGCTCAGAGGCTTACTCCTGCCCTGTCCAAGCCAGCTGCCCACAGCACGGGTGCCCTGCGGCAGCATGGGCTTCTGCAGCTCCTGCTGTGCTGCTCCTCTGCGGTGCCAACACAGCTGCTTACGGCACCTGCTGCGAACCAGGCTGCTGCTGGGCTCATGTGTGAAACTTTTTTTTTTCTTCTTCTTCTTTTTAAAAAGCAAAACTCACATCAAACTACTTGTGTGTGCCTTTCAGAGTGGTGCTGGTGCAACTCAAGGTTTTGCATGGGGGCAGGAAGAGGAGACTGAGGGTGGGATGATGGCTGGAGCTGCTGAGGCACAGAGTTCCTCCAGTGCTTCCACGGTGTGGGCTGTGCCTGTGAAAGCCCCATGGGAATTCCAACTGCCTGGAGCAAAGCTGTATCACACTAGATACATGAGTTGAGATGACCCATGGAACAGGAGGTTTCAGCAGATCCCTGTGACCTATAGAAATATTACTAAAAAAGGGAAAATTAATGGAGACCTTTCCCCAACTCTCAGCTCTTACGCAGAGGAAGAAAAGCTTGACTCTGGCTTGTGTAAGGGATTGTCCCCCATCTTGAGGAGCTGTATGGCCTCTGCTGGGACAAGCTGGCCAAGAGGTGCTGCTGCTGCCCAGGGTACAGGACTCAGCCTGAGACCCAGTCAGAGGGAAAGGAGCCATCGGGGTGGTGCTGGTTGATCTCTCTGTCTTTGATGACAAATAAATAATTTAATAGCTTATATTAAAGTCATCTAGCGTTACTGGAAAGTTTATGTGGGTTTAAGCATGACTGCAGGGTGGCTTGCAAGTTCAAGGCATCCCGTTGCTCCAGAAGCAGCAAGCCTGGGAAGATGTGGTTGGCCATGACTGAGCGCCCCGCCGGTGCTCTGGAGTCTGCAGCTCACCTCTGCTAAGCCGCGAGGAGGGGAGAGGCATCACCTTTGGCAGTGGCTCACCCTCACTTTCTTGGCAAAACTCAACAGATGTTGAGGAAAACAAACTGGAGGAATACTGCAATGGGGCAGGGGCATGAGGCGCTGAGAGGTCCAGGGAGAGCCATGGGGAATGAGCGTCCCTGGAGTACACAGGAATCCCAGCAGCCCTCATACAGCTCTGCTCTGTCTTTAGTAATTAGAGCTGACCTGCAGACATACTGGTTCCTGGTTCCTTGCTGTGGCTGTCCCGGCCTCTGTGCTCACTGCTACAGCTTTTCTGTTGTACTTCTGAATGTAGAAGCACCAGTGCAT